GGATGGTTTGCCACTGAATTTGGTGTTGTGTGCATACACAGACACGACGGGTAGGATGGTTTGTCAGGTAGGATGGATTCCCAGTACAACAGCACTGGTTTTAAAGGGGTTTCCAGTTACCTCCTAAGTTCAGTCCATCAGAGATTTCCCACAGACTTGCGGCACATCCTGAGATATGTCCACATTATTTTTATTAAATGTAGTTAAGCTAAAAGTGATTTGTGTATCTTAAAATAAACAAAATGACATCATCAGCATACGGTGATAGTTTAGTCTGTCTGATATTTCTTTAATTTCTCAGATTTAAACATACAGTCGTAGCGAGAGGTTCAGCAAACAGGCCTTTTTATTTCATGCAAGCAAAGTGTGCTTCGGTTAAATGTATGTATCTATATGTGTGCTAATGCTCTCTTATATATTCATGTTATTAAAAGATCTAATATTGATATCTGAAGGTGAAGCGATTAATAGAGCTGCTCTTCGTTTGTGTTTTGAGGGATGAATGGGAACAAAGGCCCACCGGGTGGATGCGGCGTACCAGGACCTCAGGGCTGTCCTGGACAAAAAGGTAACATGGCAGAAACACACCTGCATGGTGACACATGTGTTGTATGTAATACTGAATGTTACCTCTTGCAGGAACAAAGGGGCTAAATGTAACCAGACAGTTACTGTTGTTTCCCGGAGACAAAGGCTCACCTGGAGGGCCAGGGCCCGGTGGGGAAAAAGGATTTCCAGGTTCCCCTGGGAATCATGGCCCCAAAGGTGAGTGTGGACAAAGTTGGAGATCTTACTGCAACTTCTGGTGCCTGCAAACCCGGCCTGGTCAGTCACACGAGCTTAATTAAAAACAAAGGAATAAAACTGGGGGAAACTTGTGGGGGTGTTCCCTGATCCTGGAGAGTCCTGAGAGATCCAGAGGACACAAAGCTTCAGGTACAAGCAGTGAAAGTGTGACTGAAGCAATGTTGTGTTTGTGGCTGCAGGTGTGAAGGGTCACTGTGGGAACACGGGTAAAAAAGGACAAACTGGAGGCCCTGGGATAAAAGGAGAAAAGGGAGATGGAGGAGCGCCCGGAACAAAAGGTAGAAATGTCCGACATTAAAACAAATTTAATGCTAGAAATACTCAAAATGCTGTCGAGTGAGTGTGAGTGTGAAGAGAGTTTGTGGCGTAAAACAACATTTTCAGCAATAATTCAACTGGAAAGAATCATGTTTTCTACACTGAATGGACTTTTTGATGTTGTTGCTCTTGCTGTGGTGTTGTTTCACCCTCTGATCCTGTTACGCAGCTGTGGTTTGTGTCACTCAGTGAACTTTCACACAGTTCTTTGTTGTACATGTTTTACAAATCACACATATAAGACTCGTACTTTTAAAGTTGAGTAAATCGTTCATTTGAACCTCAAGACCTTGGTGGATGTAGTAGATGGTTAACACGACCCCACTCTACCCTTCTACAGCGTTTTGTCAAAATTCAGCCGCAAACAGGAAGCCTGTGCTGGCCAAAACAGCTTAGCTGCCCTTACCTTTCCCAGCAGATGTTCCCGAACAGTCGGAAAAGCAGCCGGTTAAGTTAATGTGATGTAATGGGGAAAATCTACATCTGTGCCCCCGACCTGTTCATGCTTCAAATAGATTTTCCTCGTGTAGTGATATACCTGCTGAGGAAACGACTCTGGCAGGAGCAGGCGAGGTTAATAGAGACTTGAAACTGCCGGTACAGGACGTACATGGATGCGGTGTGACTGTAATCAGCAGTAACAGAGTAACAGAGGTCCCTACAGCTAATTAATGTTGTGTCTGGTTGCTGTCGTTTATAGAAGGTGAGCGGATAAAAAACAAACCCAAAACAAATAAATGTAGTGACGTAATGGCACATTTCTCAGTCTACCTGAAGGACCTACATAGTGATCCAGAAACTGGTGGTGAGGTCCATGTGAACGTGTTGTGATTGCTGTCTGCTCTGTCTGTAAGGAGTCTTTACTCATATGTGCCTAGAGGAACAGAATCTTCATTTTAATTTAGGGTTTGGTGGCTTTACCACCACATACAAGGCACTAACATCTCTGCCCATGTATATACACTAAATGCTGCAGCTCACTGCTGTGGTGGATCTGAAACTGCTCACTGCCTCTGTGCTTTAGGTTGTCCAGGCCCACAAGGTCCAGTTGGCTTTAAAGGTTCTCGGGGTACACCGGGTACTATGTCAGCATCACCTGAAAAGATCAGCTTCTTGTTCACCCGACACAGCCAGACGACCGACATCCCAACATGTCCTGAAGAAACAAAACTCATATACGAGGGTTACTCGCTGCTGTTCATCAACGGCAACAGTCGAGCTCACGGACAAGACTTGGGTAATCCAAGACCCTGCTTACATTTTCTATCATTCATATGAAACATTTGAGAAGTCTGAATGCTACTTTAAAAATAATGCTTGACACTAAAAAATTGGGGGAAAACAACCTGTTAAACTTCATGGGTGTGCCGACCTCATCCAGAGTTTGAATCCTTTAAATCTGTAGCACAACTGGAGACCCGAGAGGGTTCAAATAACACGTCCTTCTCTGTCTGCAGGGACGTTAGGTAGTTGTCTGAGGCGCTTCACCACCATGCCCTTCCTGATCTGCAGCCCTGGGCAGAACTGTCTCTATGCCGCACACAACGACTTGTCCTACTGGTTGTCCACAGATAAACTGGTGGCAGAAGGGCTGCCCTTCGTCACTAACGAGTCACTGAGCAACTACATCAGCCGGTAAAACACAGCCACGCACTTCCGTCTCACGCCAATACCAATGTTTCTCTACTTGTGAACATGTGATGCACCGGGCGACACGTGTTCACGGGCGCTGCTTCTCGTGCCGCAGGTGTTCTGTGTGTGAGGCCAGAGCTTCCACAGTGATCGCCGTCCACAGTCAGACCAGTATGATTCCCACCTGTCCCACCAACTGGGTCTCGCTCTGGACGGGTTACTCCTTTGTGATGGTGAGCTCATGTTTTCATATCCGCAGCTTTTTAAGGTACAATAAGCAAATAAAAACAGTTCTCTAAAGTACCAAACCAGTGTTGCAGTGGATGAACCATTGTTCTGACCTTTGACCCCAGTTGTGACTGATTCCCCAGGAAACCGGAGCAGGGGCGGAGGGGTCAGGTCAGCCTCTGGCCTCACCCGGGTCCTGTCTAGAACAGTTCAGGAAGCTCCCCTTCATTGAGTGTCATGAAAGAGGAACCTGCAACTTCTACACCAACTCCTACAGCTATTGGCTGGCTGCTCTGAACCCCAGCAACATGTTCAGGTATGACACACCTTTGCTAAGGTCACTGCTCTTTGTGTCACCATGTTAACACACAGCTCAATGCTCCAGACTAGCCAACTGCCAAAACTCTACCTGCTGAGGACCAGATGATTTTTCTTAAGAGTTGAAATATTGTGTATTTGTATACACCGTATTTGTGCAACACCTTCATGTGTGTACAGCCTGTTGGGATATACACGGCTCAGAATTTAAGGAACACTTAGAAAACACATCAGATCACAATGGGAAAGAAGTCATGCTGGGTAGTTCCACTGATATGGACTGGTTCATCATCCTAACTGACGGCAAGCAACTCACAATCTCCTGCATCACAGTTTTGTTCCATGGTAGTTAGACAACGAGAGAAAAAGGCACATGGCTGCAGCCCGGTTCGCTGAGAGAGAGACACCTGAATCAGAGCCGTCAATGTCCACCGTAAACTGCTTCGTGATATATAGGTAACCGGGACAGGTGCAGAGGTGAAGAGTTGTTTTAACGTGATGAAGGCTGTCTAGGCTTCAGGGGACCGAGTGAAAGGACTTTTGTTGAAGCTAAGGTGAGAAAGAGGTGCGGTTACCTGACTGTAGTTTCTGATGAATTAGCGTCAGAGGTTGGCAAATCTGAGGAAACATTGCAGATGCTTTCGAGACATGGGACAGACAGATTGTACGTCTTCACCTTACCTCCTGCCAAGGTTTAACCCAGGAAGGTGACAGATGGAGAGTGAAAGTCAAATTTTTCTGCCTTCATGTATTGGCAGCTCTCTAGAAGACCAGTATGTAGTTGACCTTTAAATTTGGTAAATATTTTACGTTTGTTTGAAAGGTACTTCGGTTTTATTTTGAAATCCATGCTTTTATTTTGAAGCAGGAAACTGGCGCAAAACCGTTAAAGGGCTTGTTAGTAACGTTTCTTTTAGGATATGGTAAATAGTGTGCCTTAAAGTGAAAAACATGTACGTTTCCTTTGCCAATTAGTACCTGGCTGACAGTGGCACAAGGTTTGTTAATGTTTCCTTTAACGGAATAAGTTACGTGCAATATGAAGCGCCTTGAGGCGACTTTTGTTGTGATTTGGTGCTATATAAATAAAATTGAATTGAATTCAATTGAATTCAATCAAAATGTCGTTTAATAGTTTATGTGTTGTTAACCTTGACCTTGACCTTTATGTGTAGTTGTAAGTTAGTGAGGTGATATAATGAATTGAATGATGTAAATTTGATGTATATGCTATATGTGAGCAGGAGAAATTTGTTTCCTTTGATGTTATGGTATTAATATTGCTGGTTTTGTTTTGCTCCTAGCTCTTACGGTGTCTTCACTGAATGTTTCAATAAAAACTTTTCCAATAAAACCTCTGTAAAGCATCAGTATAAGAGACCATCATTCAGCCAGGGATGCTACACAGTAGGACACTTCAAACATGGATCTGATGTGTCTTGAGGATATTATCCTGATCTTTTCTACCCAACAAACATGTTAAAAAAAAATCCCTCAGTATGTCATTAGTGAGGGTCTGGAAAACCCCGGGAGCATTGGTGAGGCCCAAAGGCATCGCCAAGTACTCAAAGTGTCCGAATGGTATATTAAATGCTTCCATTCATCCGCCTCCCTGATACAAATGAGGCGATGAGGATACCATAGAGTTCATGAAAACTGTCCCTGTGAACGGTTAATGGGAGGTAATCACTACTAGTTTTTGAATGTCATTCAGTGCTCTTTAATCAATGCACGGTCCTAGTGTCTTGTCTTTCTTGGGAACGAAAAGGGAACCAGAACATACTTGGTTTGAGGGATGGATGATGCCGGCAGCTAACAACTTACAGCTGGAAAGGGAGGCAATGGAGAGGTGTCTTGAGGGTATCGGAGCTCTGGAGAGAAGGTCACCACAACCATAGCGACGCGACAGGCTTGATCTTTATTGAAAACTTCTTGAAGGTTGTGTTACTCAGTGGGAATGGAGGACAGATGGTGAATCGGGTGGTGAGGGAAATTCGTGTGAGCTGGACGGTAGCGCCGATCTTGGGCAGTTGACCAGACTGAACAGACTCCAGCTTGCAGCCTCATCACTGGGCCAGTCTATATGTGTTTCTTTAGCCGTGGATAGCTGAAGATCAGAGGGGTCTGAGGGGGAAGCAGAAGTGTGGAATGAGTCTCTGCGATTACCAAAGAAAACTAAGTGGACTGGTTCCACTTGATGAGTGATCGAGGTTAAACTTTGGTTATTGAGAACAGTTGCAGGAATGGGAGGTTGAAGAGGAACAAGTGGGAGAGCTGGTTGTTTGCTCAAATTTCAGGAAGAGGCCAGGGAGAAAGGAAAAGTATGCTTCAGCCCATGCCAGTGCATTTCCTCTCAGCTGTCCAACAAAATAGGAGTTTCAAAGCATCGACCGAAAACAAGCGAGCACTGTAACAAATCCTCCACACACCAACCCAACTCACCCAGAGACAGCATTGTGGAAAACGGGTTGACAGGGGGAAAAGGCGGAGAAGCCCCTATGGTGGCGGTGGATGGAGAAGGATACGTAGGTGCACGTGGCTGACTAGGACCAGGAGTGCCTTCAGAACAGAAACTACAGTTTGTGGATAGAAATTTTACACTGATTACTTAAAAACTTAAAGTCAAGACATGTTGACTGAACCACGACTGCCTGCTTCGCGATTGCCGTCTGAATTGGGTCCATTTCTTCAGCCAGTTCATACTTTCAAGGTCAGAAGGATCCAAGTGCAGACACAACACAGAGCAGTAATAAGATTTCCTAAGTTTTAATGAAAATGCAGAATAACCAATGGCAAGACGTGAAGACGTGGCGGGGGATCTCTGATGAGGAAACGCTGAAAACTGAAGAAGAGCGAAGCGGTAGTGGAAAGATCCTGGTTATTGATCTGTAGCTTTAGGTGGAGACATAAAGCTGTGGAGGGAAGGTGGGGTAGCTGGGTGGGCGTCCAAGTGGTGAGTGAGTGAGTGGAATTCCAGAAACAGAATACGGAGTTGTGAACGAGTCACGTGGTGACTTGACGAGATGGCTGTGGGACACGAGATTAAGAAACAAGAAGTTACGAGGCCTGGTTATCACCATGGCGATCTGGTGAAGAACTGATGGCAGTGCTGGTCTTAAGTATGGTCCTGCTGATTGCCAGAGATGGCTCCGCCCCCAAAGGGCTGGGCTTTGACAGAAAAACATCATTACACTGACTACTTCCTGTTTGTATTTCTGTCTTTGTGTGCAGTCGACCGCAGCTCTGGAGAGACTCGGGACCCCTTCCAGGTAACCGGATCAGCCGCTGCCGCGTCTGCATGAACCAGATATGATTTACTGCTGCGCCTCCTGCTGTAAATACGACTGCTGTTCACATTACTACTGAGTCATACTACTGATAATAATAATGACTATTAATATTTTAATACATGATAATATATTATACCGTAATAGTTCTGCTGATGTCCTCTGTGCAGCGCTGTGTGCTCAGAGAGGCTCCGCCTGCTTTCTCTTATTCAGGCGGAGCTTGTTTATACTTTCATCTTTCATTGTTTAAGAAAAAAAGCAGATTCTTTGGGTGAATTTTGTGAACTTTATTCTGTTTAATAAAAAATGTTTTCTAGAAGTCTCCTGTGAGCCGTCCTGTTTATTCTCACCACATGCACTATATGCAATCCTCCTTCACCTGTTCATTCAAGCACTTTTTTCTGTTTAACATCACACTGATGGATCCATCAGAGAGGTTCAGCATCTTGCCCGAGGATACTTTGGCAGACTGGACCCGCTCTACCTCCTGAGCTGCAGCCATCACTGCAAACTTTGCAAAGACCTGTCAGCATCTTTAGACGTCGCTCTGTCTTTAAACATGAAGATTTATAGTTTAAAATAAAGATGTCTGACTTCCTCAAACTGTGAGAGAGGCAGACGCTGCTTCCCCAGATGTTTTGGTGTCGACATTATCACAGAGCTGCTGCAGATGTGCAGAGGCCGTCTGAGTGCAGTGAACTCATCCTCATTCTGACTGAGCATTGAGACATCAAGCTCAGCAACAGCAATCGGGTGGTGTTTCGACGATGCCCCCACACCATCACACCAGCAGCAGCGTGAGCTGGTGACGCGGCCGGATGCATCCACGCCGTTTCCTCCAGACTCTGAGCCGATCACCTGAACATTGCAGCAGAAATCGAGACTCGTCAGTGCAGGAAACGTTTTCTGACCGCCTGTATGACAGCAGTGGCCTTCTGCTTCAGCTTCCACATGTTGTGCAGGGATGAAGCAGTTTATTTATCTCACCTTTGAGAGTGAGAAAAGATCCCAGTGGAGACGATGTGGGCTCACCAGAGCAGCTCTCTTTGTCTCAGCCAATCGAGACAGAGGCTGCAAATACGTTCTTCATGACGATCGGTCCCACCTCAGATTCCACCGCTAGCAGCACGCTTGTTGTTGTGGAAATAAAGTGAGGTGCACACCACCGGGCTGAGAACACACATGAAGTTTCCTCCACAGGTTGGTGGCAGCTGTGCCCGTCGTACAGTAAGAACTAAAAATACTAAAAGTTTTACCAACAATAAAAACTAACGTGATGTGAGATTATAAATACTGAACTACAGTAGCTGATACACACACAGTCTTTGCACTGCAGGTCCAAACACCTGCACAGCGTAACAGCTGCGATGCATCAGATCGGCTCTGAAAGCACGACAGATGGGAGGATTTGGGCTCTTTAACATGTGTTTGGTGGAAGAATACTCTGCTTGGCACAGCATGCATCACTGTCAAACGCCACAGTCCTTTAAATCCTCCCATTTTGCTGAGAAAAGGTGAAAACGACCTGATCTTTCAGCTTTAAATCCTGTTTGGTCCAAACTAGCACCTCAGAGAAGTGACAGAGGAGGAAAACTCAGATACCAGGTGCTGATGGACTCTCTCTGTGCCTCAGTGTGAAAAGGCAAACCGAACCAGGCATGAAGAAGGCTAATGCATGGTCTCACTGTGTCCAGACTGACGCTGCTGAGGGTTGTTATTCAGCGTACGCCTGATCGTCCTCGGCTTACAGTCTGTCAGAAACATGCAGACTGCAGTCGTGCTGTTCGACCTGTAGACGTCTGTGCCTCTTGGTTTATTTTGCATTTCCACAACAGTGCAGTCCTGATGAATTGGACCGTCAAAAGTCCTCCAGCGGTCTGAAGTTTGAAGCCTAATCTTGAAAGTAGAGATAGTGTCTGTCTCCTGAATCCAAACTGGAAGCTGGTTCCACCGAAGAGGGGCCTGAAAACTGAAGGCTCTGCCTCCCATTCTACTTTTAAATACTCTAGGAACAACAAGTAGGCCTGCAGAGCGAGAGCGAAGTGCTCTGATAGGGTGTTTGCTTTACAAATGTTTTCTAAAAATTGTCTGCATGAAAGAAACATGTAACCGACGTCCCAGCACTGATTAATGACCTTGTTTTGTCTGATATCTGTGTGGCTGCAGGACGCTGTGAGCGGCCCTCTAATGCATTTTCATATCTAAAGATTAGCGCAGCAGATAAGTGATTTCTCTTATTAATGTTGCTCAGTGTTCAAAAACAACAAGACGACTCATGAAATTTCATTTTAAAGCTTAAATCTGAGGCGTTGGCGGCGGCGGTCGAGTCGGTTAACGTTCCCGCTCACGCTGAGGGCGTGATGCGAGCGCTCGGGTCCAAATTACAGTAATCGTTGTGTTTGTGACTTCACACGGTGACTCAGGGTGGAAACAAAAACATCACAGGGGGGAGCGTGATGTCATCGCTTTCCATCGCGTGTGTGTGTTCATGCCGGCGGCTCCTTAGC